GACTCCCTCTCGGAGTCAGCCGTAGACATAGTTTCGGATGAATTGATGGAATTGTTGATGAGTTCCAGTTTCGATAGCGTACTCGACGTCGACTTCGAGGACACGCTCTTCGCCGACGTTATGATACTCTTACGAGACATGTTTGGCACCGACCAGTCAAACAGCTTTGACCGCTCTATACGCCGATTATAGCTATAGCTCTGAGCGTACGTGTAGTCAGTCTTCGTTGAATCCCTAATCAATCATAAAATCAAATTATCGTTAATTTGCTATATATTTGACACACAATACAGACCTTTCGGATGGCGATTGTCTCGAGTACTGGAGATATCGCTCGTGAATGAAATCAAAGTTAATGTGAAGTTTTAATGCAAACAAATGTAACAAATCATCGATCAGTGATGTCTTTGAGTATGACTTTTGATGGCAATCGGTGTCACTGTTATTGTTGAGCCGATCGTCCAAACAATGATCACCGGTTTGTTCTGACGGCAAAGTCTTTGTCTTAATTGGTGTCACAATTGATTCGTAATCAATCGCTGGACACTTGTGCGGAGGTATCCCTTCGTTGTCACTGTCGGACACTTCCTCGTCAGTCAAAGAGATCTCTTTTATATTCTTCGTATACAAGAGTTGTTTATCAAAAACTTTTCGCTTTCTATTTGGGATAAAATACATTAAAAATTAGTTAAAAATCAATTTAAAAAACTTTAAATAATGTATTAAATTGTCGATTATTTTCGTGCAATAAATGCATTGAAATAATACCTGAAAAGCAAATCAAATAAATAAACAGTGAATTAAATGAATGAATGGATGAGTGAATGAAAAATGAGATGAATTTACAAATGAATTATGAAATGAATGAATAAAATAATACAAAAAAAAGCGTTTCAATGAAAATGTAATGACAATTATTAGCGACAAATCGGACCACAAATTCAAATCGGATTTAAGTGTTAATAATAATCAATAATAATAATAGTTTCGGCAATCAATGGACACATCGATGTGTCGATTATGCAAATCATGTTTAATAACTCACTCTTTATTAACAATATTTAAATCATTTGTATTTAGCATTAAATCCATAGACATATCACACAAACAGTCGACACAATCGTTGTCTTTCAATATAACGTTAATATAGTTTTTGTTATCAATTAAGCCGTCAATTAAACCATTAATTATAATTCAAACCAACGTTTCATTGCATTCAACAGTTAAATGCAAATCTCATTCAAATATTGGCACAAATAATAAACACATTATTATAATAATCACTAATTATAATAACAAATGAGAGGTTAATAGCGATTATAAACTACACGTCAAAAGCGTTGACTCAATAATAAATTGCAAATTAATTGTAATTATAAATTGCAATCAAAAGTCACTTCAATTGCAAACAATAGCCGCAAACGTACGGAACGGAAGGCACTCAACGACTGATTGGGTTTAAAAATACACCACTTTTTCGACCCATTATTTACATTACAAATGCATTGCAAAAACTGTTACTAAAACTCTATGAAAACATATCGCAAAATACAGTAAAAGTTTACTTTATTTATACTACAAATCAATTATGTCTACTAAAAAGGCGCTCTCTTTGAGTATCGAATAACGCTTTAAATATACTCAACACTCGCTGTACAACGAGTCCGTTGTTTTCCATATACCAAAAGTACAGTAACGCCATACAAATACCGCTACAACACTATAAGCGTTGCATAGCTTTTATACAGAGCTTCAACTATTTGGCCGTAATTTGTGTGTAAACCCAATGCAATGTGTGGTCACGTGTGAGCACAGGTCGTGTCTTAACATCCCTTTCCGTTTTGAACGCTTAACGCGAGTGTTGTTTGTATTGTCACTCAATTGGCTTTAAATCGCGATTTAATTCACATCAATGGCTACGTGAGTATCACCGCAGAGCTGATCCACCACTCGGTGGTCATCGCTGTCTATACCAACGCTTATAATGCCTTAACTAATGATATAATGGTATGGTTTAGGGCGACGAAAGAGTCGGTGCCGTCAGTGCAAGTGTTTGGCCGCAAGAAGACGGCCACAGCTGTGGCCTACTGTAAACGGGGCAACGGTTTGATCAATGTTAACGGCCGCCCGTTGGACAACGTGGAGCCACAGGTGCTTAAGTTCAAGCTTTTGGAGCCCATTCTGCTCTTAGGACAGGACAGGTATGTGTTTGTTGTTTGGTCTGATCTGATCCCAAGCACAGCACGTGTTTAATTGTTAACAATCTATGAACGCATAGATTCTCTGGCGTTGACATCCGAGTGCGCGTTCGCGGCGGTGGACACGTGGCCCAGATTTACGCCATACGACAGGCCATCTCTAAGGCATTGGTCGCCTACTATCAGAAGTATGTGGACGAGGCCTCCAAGAAGGAGATCAAAGACATTCTCATCCAATACGACCGAACACTACTGGTATCTGATCCCAGACGATGCGAGCCCAAGAAGTTTGGCGGACCCGGTGCTCGCGCCCGATACCAAAAGTCTTACCGATAGAATTGCATTGTTTGCTATTTTTACGTGTAATTTAATGGCAAATTGATTAAAAAAAACTAATTTTGAGTTTTGATATAAGCCTTGAAATATTTTTTTTATAAATGTGTTGATATTTCACTTGATTTAGTATTTCAGTGCTGTTTATCCCTTCACTCCTTCTCCTCATTTGATTGCTATTTCAAATGTCATTACTTTTGTTGTTATTTTAATGATAGCATTAATACACAAGTTGTATGTAAAATATGGGGTAATTATAGTGTTTATATTGTATGGAAAGGTATATATGGGACCAAACATTTGTAAATACCTTTTGGTCGGTGTGGGTGTGAGTCGACCGAACTCTAATCCGGGTCCGGCTGTGCAGCCACTGGTGCGACAATAACTTCTTAAACACCTGTGATAGTCGGCGGCTGTGGCCGTATGGCAACCGTTATCTTCACTTTGCATTGCGTTTGACAGCGATTTAAACAGTATTTCAATTGATTTTCAGATAAGTTTATAGCAATGTATTGAAAGTCAATCATAACTGCGTTTTCGAAGTGAAAAAGCGATTGAAAAATATATGTCAAAAGTTTGATTTAAAGGGTCTTTTCATATATGGTTTGTTCACTGTATTGGAGTTGTTGTGTATGTGTTGAACACCAACGCAAACATTTCACAGCCTTAAGTGTTTTGATCCAAAATACCATACATTATATAATAGGTATTAATTCTCGCACTTGTATCACATTTACAATAGCTTTGGTTAAACCAAATTGGTTTACATCTACTGTCAGTACACTTTAGACACTAACCAACAGTAGATGTAAATGAAATGCAAATTCCACACAAAAAAGTTGACGTTATCTCATAAGAAGTGCATAAATATTAAATCACTTATCCATTTGTTAATTATCGTTGAAATTATTTAAGTTATAAATAAGTTTTGCGTTGAATATACACACAATTTGACGTTAAATGTAGCGATGATTTAGACGCTGAAAATATATTTAGGGAAATATTTTTATTTATAGCAATGTTTTCAAGAATAATATAATGAGTCATAAAATTTATGTAACATTTTGAAAAATATTGTTGAAATTTCCATTTCGTTTACACAATGTATGAGACAATCAATGTATGAATTGCTCTCTCTCTCTCTCTCTCTCTACGTCAGTGTCGGGGGCGGAGCGTTTGACTGACGGT